CAAAATACTAACTTTAAAAAAGAAAACAGAAAATTAAAAAGGGGGAGGGCAATGAAAAGGGATTTTTGACATCTTCCCTTCCAACCATCTTCTCATGAAGCCTGAAATTTACTAAAAGACATCTGAAAGATAGCACAATGGTCTAATTTTATTCTGATTTAAGCTCAATTCTTTACATTTGTACAGTTTATCTCCATTATGAATTCTATTGTGAAGAACAAGGCTTTGCATAACACTAAAAGCTTTACTACATTTTTTATATTTGTATTGTTTCTCTCCAGTGTGAGTTCTCTGGTGCACAATAACTGTGTGCCTAACATTAAAAGCTATGCCACATTCTTTATATTTGTATGGTTTCTCTCCAGTATGTATTCTCTGGTGTTGCATAAAATGTGATATTGATTAAAACCTTTGCCATATTTTTTACATTTCTGTGGGTTCTCTCCAATATGAATTCTCTGATATTTACTAAGGCATGGTCTGTGATTAAAAGCTTTGCCACATTCTTTACATTTGTATCACTACTCTTCAGTGTGAATTCGCTGATGTTGACAAAGATATTACCACTGAGTAAATTTTTTTCCAAAATATTTATATTTGTATGGCTTTTCTCCAGTATAAATTCTCTAGTGAATTATATAGTTTGAGATTTCATTAAAATGTTTGCCAGATTCTTTACATTTATATGGATTTTCTCCAGTGTTAGTTCTCTGTTACACAACAAGGCTGTTCTGAACAGTGAATGCTTTGCCACATTCTTTGCATTAGTATGATTTATATCCAGTGTGAATTATCTGGTACCCAATAGAAGTTGGCATAACATTAAAAGCTTTGCCACATTCTTTACATTTCTCTGGGTCTTTCCACTATGAATTCCTTGGTGTTATGTAAGATGTGAGCTTTGATTAAAGTATTTGCTGCAGTTTTTAAATTTGTATGGTTTCTCTCCAGTGTGAGTTCTCTGAGGCAAAATAAGGGTTTGCTTAACATTAAAAACTTTGCCACATTTTTTACATTTGTATGTTTTCTCTCACTTAATGTCTATTACAAACTTCTAGAGAACACAAGTGTTTTAAATGTGTACTTCATTTTGGTTATAACTTGCATATTTTTTTACAAACTAATGTATATTTAGCATAGGAGGAGGAAATCCTGGTGAGTATGGGAAGATACTAACTACTAAGCAGTATAACCCAATCTTAAGACACAGGCTTGTAAACACATACACATGTAAACATATGTAGTACTCCCTAAGGCTTCATGTTATTGGGAATTTGGCAGGAACTTTGGAAACCTATCTTAGTCTAATCAATTGTGACACACCTACCTCTGAGGAGGTTACTTTCTTTGAATCTTAAACCCTGTGTAATATGATATCTACTTTGTAGTGTTCTTGTGAAGAGTAAGAGAGAATATGTGTGTGAGTGTGAGTGTATGTATGTATGCATGAATACATACAAGCATATGTGTATATACACATGTGTATAAATATATATTTATACATATATATGTGTGTGTGTGTGTGTGTGTGTGTGT